TTAACCATTTCAAAGTTTACCATAACGATAAATTGGGCCAATGTATCGAAAAGTTTGCTCAAGTAGGTGGATGTTTTTTTAATGGAAAGAACAGTTGGTTCTGCAGAAGTATGGGAATTTTTAGCAAGCACTGCATGCTTCCCTTCAGAAAGGAGTGAAAGTGTTCCTGTTTTTCCAACCAATCTGCCATTTGCACAAAAGCAGGCAGAAGGACATGTTCTCAGTGGGACAATAGCCATTTTCTGGAGAGCAAAAGGAAAATGTAAAGTGAGGTGTTAGAACAGGAGAGGTGAAAAGATAAGATTTTAAATAAACCAAACAGGATGAAGAAAGGAAAGTGGAGGGAAATTTATACAACTGTTTCTGGACTAAAACAAGAGCTTTTTCTGTAGAAAAAGTGTGTGCAAACTGCAGCAAATCCCAGGACAAGGTGGTGGAACTGCAAGCCTGGGAAAGCCTTGCTTTTTTTTTTGCTTATATTGCACAAAGGCATCTTTCTGTGGAAACGAGACCTCTCTGATCTTTTTCATTCTCTTGACGCAGAAATAAAACAACTTAAGAGTCAAATAAAAAGCTGGGAACAGAATAAGCAGTCTGAAACTATATCACACCAGATAAAATTCCCTGGAATTATCTGTGAATTCATTGAAACTGTATTTTATGTTTTTGCTTCAAGACAACTGCTTTGTTGAGGAGGTAATGTATAGATTAAGACAGGACACTTAAACTCTGAAGTCCCCTCGGAGAGTTCTTTCTGGTATAAATCTGCTCTCCTTTAACTTGGATTATAAACAAACTCCATGATATGCACCTGGTTCTGGCAGGGTCTCTATTATTTCGCTCCCAAAAGCAGCTTTATGAAGAGAACACACTGCATTTCAACAGCAATATAAATAATGTTGCAGTTGGGGATCTCTTGCGCCGCTTTCATTTTTCTTTCTTCCCTTTTCATCTGAACTGAACCACACCTCTCTAAAAATACTCACTTTCTTAATGAAAACCATATTTTTGGGCATTTTTTTTTTTCCCCCTGCATGTGCATGACCTGTTGAAATGCCTGCACAATCTTTAATGTCAGATTCAGACGACACATGTCTTATGAAAAAGTCTGGGACCCAGCTCTCGGCGGGGCCTCCCAGATCTGTCCCACGTCTTTATGAGAAAGAGGGACAAAACCTTCTGGTTTTGGCATTTTATATTGGAGTCTGCTTTAAGCTAGGCAAGAGAGAGAGAGAAAAAAAAAAAAAAAAAAAGAAGGGAAAAAAAATAGCAACGTAGAGTCTAGACAGAAGAGATTGGGTTGAAATCTGGAAGCTATTCAGTGAGGCTACGGCACATGGCAGCTTGACTGCAGAAAGAGATCACATTACGCTGCCTAATTACACATGAAAAATGTACACATCACTTTTCTTAAATGCTTGGAAAAATAGATGTTCAGATGGCAACTGCGAGCCAGTAACTGAGCCAGTCGTACATAGTTGGAAAGCCTCACAAATGGCATTTCTAAAGCCTGCATTTTTTTATTTTTTTTAATTTTTTTTTTTTTTAAATGTAATTATTGTGTGTGTGCGTTCATAAAACAACTTCTAAAAAAGGCTTTCTAAATTTAGCAGGGGGTTGTGCTGCAGGAGCATGAAAGGTGAAAAATCCAGTGTGTAAGCATGAGGGCCTGATCCTGGCTCCTCATGAGCCAGTTCAGCCAGGTTTCCTTGGAAGTTTGGGTTGATCCACAGGCTCATGTGTTTGTGTGCTGGGAGCAAATGGTGCAGGGTTTAGAGCTCTGGTGGGAACATCCCATGGGAGCAAGGACAAGCAGATGCCTGGGTATTTGCAGCACCTACGGCCCTGAGGTTGTGTGTTTATACCCTGCCTAGAAAATGTTTAAAAGAGAAGTTTCTCCTTTCTCACAGACAAAGGAGAGGGAAAAAAATAATCTCATTTACTGTGTTGCTTGAGCGTACAGTTCTCCTGTCATCGCCTCCTCCTGACCTCATGGCTCAGGGCTGATGGCTCCTGTTCCACCCCACTCCTGCCATCCTCCTGCCAGTGATGGGTTAAAAGAATCCAGAGATAAGTTTGGTGGAGTTATGCTTTTTGTTTCCATCTGTTTGGATGGCATCTGCTCTTCTTTTTAGCTTAAACACAAATGCTCAAAGACGGGATGCAAATAGGTCTTGGACTAGATCATCTCCAGAGGTCCCTTCAACCCTAAGAATTCTGTAATTCTGTAATTCTGTGGTTCTGTGGTTCTGTGATTATGTGACTTCCCCAAGGAAGAAAACAATTTTCCAAGCTATTTCCAAAGATTTGCCATTTCAATCCTGCTAATGAGACCTGGGGAAGTGGATGTTCCAGGGGGAAATGTCAATATGTCCATCTGCCTCCCAGACCTTGCTTTTCCTAGAAGACTGATCAGAGCAAGAGCAGAAGTGCCCAGTCCTGCCCTCAGTGCCATTCTGGGTGAGCACAGAACAAAAACCAGTCCCCAAAGCCCTCTCTGGTGGCCAGGCTCTCCATGTGACTACTCCCTTGGAGTGCCTTTGAGTCCTTCCCTCCTGGAGCCAGCGGCCAGTCAGACCTTGGCTGAACTGTTAATCCTTCCAGACAAAGAGGAAAGAACATCTTGTAAAGTTTTGTTGCTGTTGTTATTGTTAAAATGGACTAAGCACGGAGCAACTGGCCAAGCTATCTGGCAAAAGTGACCCGCAGAAAAGTCTTTCAGAAGGAAAAAAAATGATCTTTTCTGGATATGGGACTAAGCTTCCCCAGTTCAGGGGGAAGAACTGCACTAATCCAGCTACTTCCAGCTGGAATATGGGTTGTTGTACTGATTATTTCATCACCGTGCTCTGCAGGACCTTCCTCAGCCTCTCTCTTTTAGGGCTGGAAAAAGAAAAAGGTGCTTTGCTGTTTGCACAGCCTGGGCCTGCTGGAGTCCTGCATGAGAAATATCAGTCACAGGAGAAGTAGACAGGGGCAGAATTTGGGTTGGAAACTGCTCTGCCCTTTCCAGGGGCAGCTCTCCTGCAGGAGGGAAGGATGGAGGGCTCTGTCAGACCCTCCAGCGAGCCAGGTTTGCCATGGAGGAGCTGGGATGTGGGTGAAAGTGGGAGCCACGACCACATTAAAGCTGTTCCCCTTTAGATCAGGCAGGAACCATTGTGGGCAAGGGCTTCCTTCCCAGGTTAAGGCTCTGCAGAGGTTTGGAATGGATGGATGGACAGCCCCAGCCTGGCCTCTGCTCCTCCGGGTATTTCCCCGCTGTGTATTTTGTGTCCCGCTGCGGTCAGAGGCAGCAGCACCAAACTCTGAGAGTCCTTCAGAAAAGCAAGGCCTCCTCTTCCAGAAGGGTCAGCCTTGGGTGTAATTTATGAGGGTTGTGGTAGCCCTGCTACCCTCTGGCTGCTTGTGATGAATTTTAAATCGAGTGAACTTTTTGTGCTCGCTGGTGAAAGGGGGAGGAATGATGGCAGGAAACAAATCGCTTCCTCTGGTCATTCCTCTCGCCACAGCCACGCTATTTTTAACAAATCTTATTAAAAATTATACAACCCTGTATTTTCTGGAATCTGTTTTATTGAACAAGTACAAAACAAACCAAGACAGGAAAAATGCAGCGTTTGGAGCAGCTCCTTTTGCTGCAACTGATTTAGCAGAACAAGCCACAGGGGAACACAAATGGCTTTCTAGAACAGCTTCCTGCGGCCATCCCTCTCTCTCTCCATGTGGAAGAGAGGAATATTTTACCAGCTGCATCACTTCATGCAATAGTAAATTATTCTAAGTGTTCTGGTCACCACAGAATACACTGTCTTGGAGGTTATTCCCATTATCAGAGTTATTTGTTTAATTTCTTGCTGCAGCCAGCTTTAAACAGCGTGTTTTCAAAAAATATCGTCCAACCCATGGGTGTCTGCTTAGCTGAAGGGGCTAAAACTGAAAACAGATCCCCCAGATTTGGGCATTTCCTAGGTCAGGGTCAGCTGGGACAAGATTTTGATGGAGGGAAATTCTTTCAAGATTTCTAGCAAGCTTCTAGTTTTCTAGTAAGTATTTACTGCTTTACCACCTAAATATTATTAATAAATTTGGAACTCTTATGGGCAGATGTGAAAAACTGCTTTTTCTGCAGCTATGTCTGGTGGCAAGAGGTGAGGCTGATGATTAGATAATTGTAATATCAGTGTCAGATTTCTGTTCACTCAGGTGTCTCCCCCTCACTGCATTGGTACCATTCCTTACCAGCTGCTCCTCACTCACAAAGACTGAATTTTGTACTGAGACATTTTGTATAAATGCAGAAGACATCAGACTTGCAAACAAATGTAAGTTTGGGCCCTGACTATTCCAAATATTTACATGCCTAACTTGAAATTATTTCAATAGGGTTTAGGTGCCAAAAGACCTTGATGAAGCTTTTCTGGATCAGAAATGACACTACAGGGTCACATTATCACAGGCAAAGTATTGCTATTTACCATGATATCCTTGGCACATGAAAGGGGATCTGCTTTTGAATTTGGTGTCCCCAGCTACAAAATTTTGTCTCCATTTGTGAAAGCACACTTTAGTGAGTTTGGCATGGAGGAATCTTATTAAAGGTTTAGGAGAAGGGGCAGGAAATTTTCTATATTTCATCTCTTATGTCTTATCACTACCACTCAGAGCAATATTGTTCCTTATGATGGTGGATTAAGTACTTGCCCTACTCATTTTGTTATTGTTAAATAAAAATTGTTAACAAGCAATTACTGATCTGGATCAGATATAATTATTATATCAGAAACAAAAGGTTCTATATTCTTTGAGACCCACCAGCATATATCTCGGTGTGTTCCTCCTGTTAATCCTAAAATGAACGTCCTAAACCAGATATTTTGTGAGATTTTAGACAAAGATCACTGTAATAATAAATGTATTTATTTATAAATATTTTTTTAGATAATAGAATAACCTCAATCTCTTGAAAATGAAAACATTTAGAACATCTTGCTCTCCCATGTCTGAAGAAATCTCACCATGACACACCTGAACATTTTCAGCCCTGGGTAACAAATCTGAAGTAGAAGTTGTCACATATTTCTCTCCCTGTGGGAATCACAGGTCATGTGGCTTTTACTGGTTAGGGCTCAGTTATTTTTATTTTAGGGATCAGAGGATGAAGACACCTTAGATATTCAACCATGTATTTTATCCAGAATGTTTTTCCATTGGTTTCCCTTTCCTACAGATCATTCCAGGAGATTTATACCTCAATGTGAAACAGGTTATTCCTCTCAGAGATGTTTTCAGTTTACAGTGACTTCAGAAGATAACAAAGCTGTTTGGTTTTTTTAGGATATCAAGCTTAATTATCATCCTTGTTGCTTTCAGGTCACATCCTCAGGGGTCACCTCTTCCAGGAGGTTGCTCCAACACCTGTGACAGCAGCAAACTGGGATCTGCCCTGCACTGGTGCTCACTGATTCATTCCCTGGAGTTGTGCCTACAGACTGCAAGACCCTGGATCTGAGGTTAGCACCGTGGATTAATCCTGAAGGAAATCCTGCAGGTCTTAAAATAAATAGCTCCTGTATGAAGACTTTCCCAAAATCTGAGATGCATTTAATGGTAGAGGCCCAACATCTGCTGGGAGAGACCCATCCAAAGAACAAGGAAGTTCTTGAATCCAGGTGATCTCAAGCCTGGGCTGAGCTTAAATGTAAGTCCTGGCCAGTGAGGGTGTTTTGGGCAACTGAGGCCTCTCTGCTAACAAGGTCCTGACACTGACCCAACTGCAGGCTGGAGGGAAAAAAAAATATAAAAACCCAATCAAACAAGCAAAAAAACGACAGAAGAAATAGCACCATACAGAGGTTCAAGTGTGAGGCAGAAGGGAGGAGTTGCATTTCAACAGGAAAACTGGTTTAATCTCCACCTAAAGGCTTTTTCAGGAGACCTGAGGGTTGGAAGGAACACTGGCCTTTGCAAAGACCAAAGGGTGACAGCCCAGAGCAGAGGGATCCACACTGCTCGTGGCACAGAGCCCACCAGAGAGAGGGAGCACATCATCAGCCAAGGGGAGAGCAGCAGCAGGCTCAGGACCTAAATCTCCTTGGCTGGGAAAGCTGCCTGCTACCAGCAAAGTCCAAGGGAAGGTCAGTGCCTGAGGTCACTGGCAATTTTGGAATGATAGAAAACCCCACTTAACCCTTTGCAGGCTGTTGCCACCAAAACTTCTCACAAGAAAATCCTCTTTTTACTAATGCCACCTCTGCAATTTGGGATAAAATTTCCCATCAGCTCAAAGAACCACAGGTTCACAGCGAGCAGAGGACACCCCTACTCAAATTCTTGTCCCACTATTCTTCCACCCCCCAAAAAAAAAAGAAAATTTTTTGATAACATTTACTGGAACCAAAGGCTTTTGCTACCTTTTTTATGCTTTGGGATATCCCAGGAGGGCTCCACACCTCACAGATGGAGTCCCTAACAGGATGCAGCAAAGGTAAACAGACAGAAAATGAGGAATAGCTTATTTAGCTGAAACTGAAGGAGGGCTGTGGGTCAGGAGGAAAGATCACACAAGCTGGAATACAGCCAGGACACCAAAGGTAGATCTTTAAAATCTGAGGGGGAAAACCCCAAAACCTTTAAACATCTGAGGGGAAAACCCCAAAACTTTTAAAACCTGAGGAGAAAACCCCCAAACCTTTAAGAGCTTCACTGAATGCAGCTGGGAGTCATGGACACATTCATTTTCTCCTTTCTCTCTGCCCTATGGCAACTCCACAGCCAAAGAAAAGAACGTGGGGACTTCTGAATTGCTGTGGAACATGATCCAAACTGCCCAGACTCCTGCAGGATTCCATTTGTGCATCCCCCATGAGAGGTGACAGCACTGAGGTGTGAGGCAGGCTGGGGGTTCAACACAAACAGGGTCTTTTTCATGAATCCTTTCCAAAATCTCCATATGGATATGCCCTGAAGGAACACACAGTTTTTCCCTGGCAGTGGATACTTATAAAAGCCTGACACATTTAATTCTGGAAGGAAGGTGTCTTTGGCTTCAATAAAATAAAGCAAAACCAGCCCACCTCAAAATCTTAGTTCCATGGTATATAGAAAACTGTGGGAACCCTGTTAAAAAGTGTCACTGTATTAAGTTGTGCAGTTGGATTTCCTTCTGATTTCTGTGTTCTTTTGTCACAATTTAAAGTGAGGACAAGAACGTTTCTCAGTCCAGCATTCTGCTGACGTTCGACAATTCGGGCTATACGTCCTCGGAATTTTTATAAAGTGCAATTCTTAAATATTATTTTTCCAAAATACCGCCCAGAGGACCCATTCTGGCTGATCAAACAGCCCTTGGAACTGCAGTAAATGCTCACACGGCATTTCTCCAAACAGGGCCTCGTATGAAAACGAAACACCGCAGGGGCACCGTGAAACACCAGTTAGCACCTTTATAAAACCCTGCTCCCGAGGTTAACTGCACTACAGCCCTGGCAGATCACAGAACTGTGAGTCTTGTACGAGCACAGGGTGGAATTGTGTTAATTTGTCTCAGAGGGTGCAATTGCAATGGTCCTTTCTTGTCTTCAGAGGAATCCAGCTCGGAGACGGCGCACGCGGGGAGAGTTTTTACGGGAACCTGCTTCTGCCGGGGGGTGCTCTTGCTTTCACACAGCTGCTCTTATTCCTTTCAATCTGCACCAGTCTGTCTGAAGAGGAAATACAAAGGTCTGCGCTGAAATTTGCTCTGTGATCAAGCGATCCAAGTGATGTTTCGTCCTTACGCTGCGTCGGGTCTTTGGCACGGCGAGATGCCTTTGCCTGTTTAGGAAAAGACAAGGCAAACAGTAAAAGGGTTGAAATCCATGCTGCTTCCTTCCTTTCCTGTGTTTTCTTTTGCCAGCTACACAATATTCTCTCAGAGAAATCTGCAAGCCATCAAGTGCAGCAGGCAGAGTTTGCTGGGAGCTGAGCTGGGACCCCCCTCCAGTGCTGCACACACAGAAAGCTTCTGAAGGGCAGGTTAACACAACACTCACAATAACCCAGCAGCTTGAGGCTGTCAAAAGGTGTGATCCCACTCCCAGACCTGCTCTGGAATGGGGCCTCAATGCTGCTTTGGACAGCAAGAGTCTTTTTGACTTTAAAGCAGGACAGGTGTGTGTACTGGAGCCCAGAAACCAACCCTGTCCTGGGCTGGTCCCACAGCCTGGGCAGCAGGAAAGGGATTGGGATTGTGTCCTTGAGCTCCTCAGGTGAGACCCCACCTGCAGAGCTGGGTCCAGCTCTGGAATTCCCAGCCCAGGGAGCAGCTGGAGCTGCTGGAGAGAGCCCAGAGGAGGCTCCAGGATGAGCAGAGGGATGGAGCAGCTCTGCTGGCAGCAAAGGCTGGCACAGCTGCCATTGTTCAGCCTGGCCAGGAGAAGCTTTGGGCTGAGCTCAGGGTGGCCTTGCAGGGCCTGAAGGAGCTGATAAGAAAGATGGAAAGAGAATTTTTACAAGGGATGGAGCAACAGGAGAGAAAGGGGAAGAGAGCAGGATTAGATTAAATATTTGGAAAAAATTCTTTACTATGAGGGTGGGGAGGTCCTGGCACAGATTTTTCAGAGAAGCTGGGGCTGCCCCTGGATCCCTGGCAGTGCCCAAGGCCAGGTTGGACACTGGGCCTTGGAGCAGCCTGGGACAGTGGAAGGTGTCCCTGCCATGGCAGGGGGATGAAAACAGCTGCTCTTTAATGTCCCTTTCAACTGAGGCCGTTCTATGACTCCCTAATTCTCCAATCCTGTGATGCTATGATCCACGGCAGTAGCATGACTTTCTGCTCAGTGGTGACAGCCTGGGATGGTCTCACATTGCCTTTGTTCCAAAATTCACTCATTCCTTGCGGTCAGAGCATCAGGCACAGAGGTGGTCACTCTCCAGCAGTGGAGTACCCAGACAGTGCATGAAGGCTGGGGTAAAAGGAGGAGCTGACCCAAATTTTCATAGTCCAAGCAATGTATCCCAACCCCTGGAACATTATTCCCCTCAAGAACAAAACTCATCCTCCTCTTTTCACCTTTATGGTCCCTCACCCTTACAGGCTTTTGGAATTTTCAGTTCAAATGGGAACTCTGGAGTAATTCCTGCCCTCAGTAAATAACACACAAGCTGATAAACTGTTTAAAAAACAGTGAGGCCTTGCCAAGAGGCTTCGGCGAGACATTTGTTTTTGGGAAACCCTCTGCGCAGCACAGGCCGCGTGCACACTTAATCACACAGAGAAACATTTACTGTAGGATATATTTTTAGGCAGTTTTTCAAGTGGCAGATTTCCACAGGGGTACAGCCCTTGTCCTGTGGTAATTAACTCTACAGAAAGTATTAGTCTGGAGCTGGCCTGGCCGATGGTGGAGGGAATGTGTTACACCCAAGTTCAGGAGAGGAGCAGGGTCTCTCTCTGTGTGGGCTGGAGAAGACTTAAGCACATTACACACATATTTGGCCACCAGCAGCAAGAAAGGCCACGAGCTTCCCTCACACTGTGGAGGGAGATGAATATCTTTCAGTCGAGCAGGATGCTGCTTGGCTGCTCCGAGAGAGGGGGGAAAAAAACACGTAGGAGTCAATCACAGGTTGGATTGAAAAGGGGATTCGTGTGACAGCCAGGGACGTGAGGGGTGGTGGAAAACTTGATGGGTCCCACATCTCCTGTGGAGCCAAGCTGTACAGACTGGAGTGTGACACATGTCCCAGCTTGGATCTCCAGTGACTCCAGGCCTGGAGGCCGCACCTCCATCCGTGAGGAACCAGCACCTGCCAGGGCAGCCTCCAGCTCCTCCGTTTGCTCTGAGTGTTGGTGGGCTTTGGAACAAAACCAAGGATGGCTGCTGAGGTTCCCTCCAGCAGGGAACCCCCGTCCCTCCCGCTGTCCTCTCCCCTTGGCCTTGTGGCTGGGGAGCCTGAGCATCCCAAAAGTGCAGGCAGGGCTGCTCCCTTGCTCCTTAAAGCACATTTTGGAGTCACCAGGGATGGATTTCAGCAAGGACCAGAGGGCTTTGCTGAGAAGCTCACAGAACAGGATGGGAAGTCTCCCACAGCAAAGCTGCTTGGGTTTTGTTGGGTGTTTTTTTAACAGGGGGAATGTTGTTGGCTTGGAAAGATCCTTCCCACACATCCACAAGACAGGGAAGAGCTGGAGTAGGCGCTTTGAAGGCAAACCAAGTGGAACTCAGCCTTTAAAAGTTGCAATTTCTTGAAGAATTCTTGCCATTTTTTTCAGTTCTCTGGGCTAGCAAAGGGCCAGATGCAGCTTTAGCAGCATTGCAGGGGCTTTGCTGAGTCACTGGTGTGGCACTGGCCTGTCTCACACACCAAACACCACCATACCTGCTATGTCCCCTGCACAGGGACAGTCCATGGACTGCAATAGGATGCTGAGAGAAGTTTTCATCATGTCTTGACCAAATTCACTTTTACAGAAGTGTTCATGGGCTCAGTGATGGTGAGAGCTGCTGAAACTTCCACCTTGTCCTATCAGATACATCCATTTTCTCTGGCTTTATTGAACAGAAGTCATGGAGATTTATCTGGGTGCATGTCCACAAAATGTGAGATAGACCAGGAGCCAGAAACTTGTTTATGAAATTGGGTAATATTTTTAAATTGGGTAATATTTTTAAATTGTGCAATTTTCCCACCAAGTTGGGAAACTCCCCATCCCTGGAAATGTTTAAGGCCAGGCTGGATAGGGCTTTGAGAAAACTGGTCTAGAGGAAAGTTCCCTGCCCATGGCAGAGGGTGAAATGAGATGATCTTTACAGTCCTTTCCAACCCAAACCATTCTATGAGTCCATGATTATCACTTAATTTATATTTCTCTTCCTCAGGCAAGTATTGTTTGGGATTAAGTGTTTTTCTTCCTTATTCTTTATATTCTTTTGTTCACTGATAATTTTTCTTTTAACTAACTGAGTCTATAACATTTTACAAAGATGTTGTGAACATAATTTATCACATCTGAGTATCATTTACTCCACTGTGCTTCACTTTCATTAAACAGAACATTTATGCAATTGACAGCTCCTCAGGTGAAGTGTACCTGCCAAAACCAGAAAAAGTCTTTTCATTTCTAATTTCCTAATTAAATTTTCAGTATTTTACACACACACTGCTAGGATGATACTTTAAAAAAATAGAAATTAAAAGTCAGCCTATCACATTTTGCATAAACAGAGGATGTTTTCTAATTTCTTTGAGTTACCTTGCTCAAATTCATGAGGCAGAGCTGTGAATAAATATTTTAATGTGTCCAAAAATGAAAAGAAATCCTATGTAGGCAGCATATACAGGATTATCTTCTCTAGCTGGTGTTGAAGACTCCACTGGGAAGTTGTATGGGGCTTTTACTGTACTCCTGAATTTTAAATGTCAAAGCACTGTCTCACTGCAGAGTATTCCCATACAATTATTTGATAGATAGTAACATAAAAATGAAATCCAGTCTGTTACAACCTCATATAGAAAAACATAAAGATAAAACAAAGAGATCAGTATTTGGTCTTCAGTTCTAGCCGTTAGGAATGATGCCACATCCTCAGCCCAGCTGCTGGGGGAGTATTCTGTTGCTGAAAATGTCCAACACGCTGAAGAAACCAAGGAGGGCAAACCTCCAGTTCTTGTTCTGCAGATTGATCAGATCACAAGTTGCCAGGGCAGAGAGAGAATGAAACCTAGAACAAAACTGCAGAAAACACCTCTTCCCCCTCCGTGCCCTGCCAGGAAAGATTTTTTTGCCCTGTTGTTGTCACAGAAACGCTGTGTAACTCATCCCTGCCCCACTTCCCAGAACTGCCATTCTAGACACCTGGGGGATCTCAGTGACTCTTGCAGAGCTGCTACAGGGAAGACACAGCCATGGATTGAGGAGAAATCCATGGAAACTGGCTGTGCTGCTGTGCAGCATCTGCCCCCCGTGCGCTCCGTCGCGCGGTCACCGCGCGGTCACTCGTGCAGCCACGCTGGGCTGTGTGACACCGAGTTTACATCTCAGCCTGGCTAACCAGAAATCTTGGCAGTGCTAGGAGACTTCCAGCCTTTCCAGGGTTAGACATCTGTCCCATGCTGTTTCTTGTTTCAGTTCATTTTTTTTCTTTACTGTGCTCACACCATTAAACTGCTGAGGAATCTCTCATCCGCTGGAATATTCCCCCGTCAGGAGTGCAGGACATCAGCAGTGATTCTGTGTCTGAAGTTCTCCTCTCTCACACTTACAAGGAGATTATAAGCATTTTATTCTGCCTTTTTTTTTCTTGTGCTGAAGCTGATTTATTTTGCTTACATTTCTCCCTGATAAATTCTCCTCTCAGTTTCCAATGGGGATAGGTAAGATTTTCTTTTCTTTAGGAGCCACCGTTGCTCCTACACTCTCCACTCCTGTGTCACAGCCAATCTAGGGCTCCACTTGATTTATGTCATCCTTCAGCAACAACAGGAGCTGAGCTCAGAGCAGATCTTTTGGGGTAGAACCACGACTATTTCAGCATTAGTTAAAGGCCAAAGCTCTGGACTGCTGAGGATAAGCATTCCAGCAACAGGCATGACAAATAAAGTGGCCAAGAATGTCTAGAAGGCCTTTTAAAATAACAGTTCTGAGCTCTGTCACTTGAATGACTGTGTTTAAAAGTTAAGATAGTTAATAAAAATTATGCCTGTAATTGCTGAGCTATTTTGAAATATCCAACCGAATCCATGTCTGCAGAGGATTATGAAGAGCTAAGGATTCACAAACTGGCTTCAAACTTGATCCTACTTGGCTTTTCTTATGTTAAATATAAGGGTCTCTCTAAATTCAAC